GCAGTATTTGGCCGGGTTATGGGAAGGGGGGAGTTTTTCCGGCAATGGCCGTGGCTCTAGGGGCTTTAAGTGCCCTTTTTTGATTAAAACCCCCAGAGCTTTGGGCAGGGGCATATATAATGGAGCGAATGTTCTTTGGCTTTTGGGTGGATATCTAGCTGTTTGCGAACTACTACCGGACGCACTGATGAATGGCGTAGCCGCAAGGGTTCTTAGGGTGTTGGTTGTGACCATGCTTACTTCCTGAGATCTGGCAGATACAACACTGCTTGTGCCTGCATTCGTACTGCGGTTGTTGAAGGTTCTCCTGGGTTGTTCTTTGTCATTGTCAATCAAGCCCTGCTTCAAGGCATCCTCGATCTGTACTTCCATCTCATGCAGATCTGAAAAGGTAGGGAAGGGGAGCACAATCATTTTCTGCATTAATTTGGATTGGAGGTTGCGCACAACCATTCGTATTTGATCTTTATCCGTCGGCCTTATGGTCATCATTGAGGCCTTGGCCCTCCAACGGGTTACGAATTCAGAGAAACTCTCCTTAGGCTCCTACCTAGTCGTCTCAAGATCACGGGTTGTAATCTCGATCTGTGTATTATAGGAGTATTGAACGACGAAAGCCTAGGCCATCTCATCCCAATTCCTTTTGACATCATCTTCCAATTTTGCATACCAGATGGCCGCTACACCTGACAAGGTCCGGCCGAATAAAAAAAGCTTCTGTAGTCTGGTGAGGCCCATCGGCCTTAGTATATCCGAAAAAAAACGTAGATGCACCATGGGATCTCCAGACCCGTCGAAACGGTCGATTTGTGGCATCTTAAACCGATCAGGCAGTGTCACAGCCGCGTCGGTATACCCGTCCTCAATATCTGGGATGGATTTTACCCCTTGGGACTTCTTGAACAACTTCTCAAGCTTACTCAACTTCAATGCTGTAGGGTCCACCTCGAACTCAAAGGGGGAGTCCGGTTGATTGATAGGCGTGGGTGCCTTGGATAGTTGAGGTAGAATCGGGGGCGGAGCCGGCCCCGTTGGGATGTCTGTATCCTCTTGGGCATTCTGAACATTCGCCATTTCCTCAGGTATTGGGACTCTTGTTGGGGGAGGAGCCTGGTGTGAAGTAGATGCTCCGGTTTGCTGTCGTAACTGGGTGATTAGCTCTGCCTGTTGGGCCATGATCGTAGCCTGCTGTTTGGTAAATTTCGCTTGGCGGACAGCGTCCTCCTACATGGCTTTCATGCTCTCCTGGAGCTGGCACACCATGTCTTCCATCCCTGACATACTGTCCTGATTTATCTGAACTGTCGGTGTATCTGCCTCTGTAGTAGATTCGGAAATCTCAACCCGACTGTTCAAAGACCACTGATCTGACAATCTCGGTATCGATACACTGCGTCTTCTCGACCTTCGTCTAATAACGGGGGGTAAGGAATAAAACACTGGTTGTCCGTCGACCAGATCCTCAGATCGATTGAGTCGGCAACCTCTAATCCAGAGTGCATGGGGAATATCTGCTTGGTCTGAAGCAATTGTGCTAAACTACCTAGCAACAAGATAAATAAAGCAATAATAAGGAAATAAACAACCAGACAAATGGACAGCACAACAGCGTAAATAAACACACAACATGCAGTTGGACATCATAACACACAGTTGATAAGCTGAATAGACTGTTCTCAAATACTGATCATTGTTCCCCAAATCACTGCCCCCAAAACTGAATTTAAAACCCGCAGATAACTGATTCTCAAGATACTGAACTGATGCCCGCAAGCCTGATGCCCAAATTTGTGAACTGATACATGCATTCCTGTAGAGACGCACTCTAAAAAGCACATAGCAAGTAAAAGAGAGCCAAAACACCCCTATATTGGGGTAGGGTTTCCCTGTCCTATTTTGTCAGGAGCTAGGGTTTCACTACGCACGCAGCGGTTTCAAACAACCTATCGGGTAAGCAACCATGTCCTAGCTTGGAATGGTCACTATGGATTCCGAATATGCACTAGGTCGAATGGTCAAAAAGGGTGCCCCAGTAAAAATCGGAGTTTGTGTTCCCATCGTGGCAGAGCCCGTAACCGGTCAGCCTTGTGGCACGCTTCTCAAAGCGAGCCTCTGACAAAACGTTCAAGAATAGGAGACAGCAAACACGGTGTCTTAGGCGCACCGATGCAAATGCAATGCAAAGAAACACATAAGTGTAGTCAAAACAATATATCATAAGTTCGAGTCAAGTTCTCCAACTCCTTAGTAGAGTCGCCAGAAACTGTAGACGTCCCCCGAACGCCCCGGGAGGGGATCCCCCGTTTCGTTCATTTGGGCTCACTACAGTTCAGGACTCAAATTTTCACGGTTTTAAATCTAAACCAAAGAGTCCAAATCCGGCAAATCGTTTTTGAAAACAGATTTTTTGTAAAGAAGTGCCAAACATGGACTGCTTTGCCAGATACAGAGTCGCCACCTAAATATTTTTTTATGGGGGAATTTAGGAAACCCTGGCTCATTTGCCTAAGGCCACGTGTCCGTCATCACCAAAGTTGCTTCGGCTCGGGAACTTGGGTACGATTGGAGAAGGTCAGCTATGAGCACCCCCGCTCACCCGATCCGAAGATCGGCCTCTACTAACCATGATATCTTGTTTTGAAAACATTATGCGTTCTTAAACCGGTTATTAGCCTAGATTTACTACATGATGCGCACAACACACAAGTATAGACTGAATTCCCTGAATTGGAACAAAACATCACATATCCGTTTGTTTTGAAAATGGATTGAAATTTGCTACTCGCAAGTAGGCCAAAACACGGGTTTCCACGAATTATTCTAACTCAAGCAACCCAACCTTCACCCACAGGCATTCAAGCAGTTATAACACATAAGCACATAGCCTCATGGTAAGCATGCTATCATGGCAACACTTACACTCATGCAAGGATGCTAAAACATAAATGCTTACCGAGTACGCCAAGCCAAAACAGAAACTAGTTAATAATCATATGCATGATCCTAGTTCATGTTAAGATGGCTAATGCAACACATGCAAGATGCAACTACAATAGGCTCGGCTATTCTAAGATGGCATATGATGATGCTACAACTAACACGTATTCAACTTGGAATTGAAATACAATGCAGTTAGTATGTGTGGACGCGCCTTTGGGCTTTATGCCACCACAATTCGGACTCCCTTTTGTGTCACGGTTCTTAATCTGAACCAAAGAGTCCAAATCCGGCAAATCGTTTTGGAAAACAGAATTTTAGAAAGAAGTGCCAAACATGGACTGCTTTTCCAGATACAGAGTCGCCACCTAAATATTTTTATTTTGGGTGAATTTAGGAAACCCTGACTCGTTTTCCAAACATTAAATACAAAATAAAAAAACTGAGCCTCACAGTCCTCCCAAGTTAAGTCCTTGGTGGAGGCATCTCACTAAAATGGTTTTCTCATATAGGGTGAGCCAAAGTCTAGTAGAAATAATCCAACACAATATATGAATCTTAACAAAGATATAAGGGTGAAATACATATGCAGTGCCCATGTCAAAACGTTTTACATTTCTTTCTCAAAATCATGCCATGCTCAGTTCATATCACAATTCTCAAGTCATGTCTTTTACAATAGAAAACAAGAGGGAAATCTCAACCGGTACAACCATTCATGAATATTTCGTGCGTAGGAAACCGTCGAATGACACCCATGTAAACATAGTCTATACAAGCACTACTATTGCCGCTTCACGAATATTTCGTTCGCGAGAATCGGCACCCATGTATACGCGCGTTTTTCTAGATTTTTACCCTGGACACACATGCCAACTTAATTTGATGATACACATCTCTTTCCAACATTCATCCTTTTTCTCAAATTCATATACATATCCAATGTATTAAATGAGCAACAACGTTCAATGCATAAAGATGAGAAATTAGTTTCAATTTACCTAATCCTCATGCAATTTGTACAACAATCATAGCTATTGTGACGACCTTGCCTCGTATAATATTTTATATTTGATTAATTACGGAGATTTGGATTTTAATTAGTCGTTACCTTGATTTAATTTGGGATTTATAAGAATTGTAGAATTGGATTCGTATATGATTCTATTAAAGATTTATTTTGGAATTAGAAATTAAGGGTGCAAATGGTTTAAGGAAGTGAAATTAAAAAGTTGAATCAATTTAATTTTAATTACGGACCCATTTGGGAGTTTAATTAAATATTTGATTCAGTTTAGTAAAATTGAGATTCGATTAATTAGGTCCAATTGGAGTTAATTAAATTATGAGGATTGAGAACTGTGATTATTACGAATTAAATTTATTTGTGGGGTGTCCAATTTGAACATGTAATTTATTGACAAAAATTTAGAGTCTGATCAGAAATTGAAAGCCTAAATGACTTGAGAAGCAAAAATTGATGATGTCAACAAGCTTAATTTGACATTTGGAGCTTTTTGGAAGTTTGATTAAAAATCTAATTCAGAATGGTAAGATTAAATATAATTAATTGGGCCTTAATTGAAGTCAACTAGACTAATTAAATTATGTGAGATTGGGATTAGTTATGATTAATTAAATTATGATCAAGATTAATTAGTTTTAAGGGGTGATTAATTGAGCTAATTGTAATCAAATATTAATCTTAATTAAGTATCCTAAGCAAAATTAATTAGTTAATGAAAGAACAACAATGATTTAGATCACTAAAAAATACACCACTAATAGCACTAATGCATTGGGAATGGTAAAAAAAAGAAAAAAAAGAAAGAAACAAGGCATAGAAAGTGGGCGGGGCTCACTGCCACATCATTAGTGCTCATTCTAGTGCTCCATTTCTAGTGCTCCCAAGCATTTTTCATGAAAGAATTAATACACTACCACATGGGTTCATATAGTAAAGACAAGTGTCCCACTAAATAAATAAATAAATAAAAGAAAAGATGAATCAATGAAGCCAAATGAGGCCCTCACTTTGCTGGAATCAAAGTTAGAAAGAGAGAGAGAGAGAGAGAGAGAGAGAGAGAGAGAGAGAGAGAGAGAGAGAGAGGGGTTCATTATTTATATACACATTGTAGACAACCTGCTGGAGCAAACCGTGAGAATGGAAGAAAAAGAAAAGAAAATGAAAAGTGGAGAACTCAACTAAATTCTATCTCGAAGACTAATGGGTAAGAAATTTCATCCTCTTTCTAGTGTTGTTTAAATAATTTAGACATAAATTGATTAAAGATGGATTTTGAGAGGATTAAAAATGAAGATTTGAAGATCAATTATATAAATTGTTAAAATTTGGGTTTGCATGTAAAATCAAGTTAGGTTGAAGAATATGAATTATGATTCCTTAAAATTGTTAAATTTGGGTTCAATTTCATATAAATAGAAGGAATTAGCAAGATGATGAATAAATGGAGTTAGGCTCGAATTTATGGAAGTCAAATTGAGAATCAATTATGTTAAGTTTGATTTTTGTAGTTTTTCAAGAATTTGAGTTCCATTTCTACATGCATGAACAAATTTTGTAAGTTTTAATACGCTAATTGTACATGCATCATGGATTTTGAAGAAGTTTGAACTAATTCAATTTCATATTTTGAAGAGAAAATGGAAAAGCTTTGAAAATTATGAATTTATTTGATTTTGATCTTTAATCCATGCATGTAATTTAATTGAAAAGTTTTATTCAATTTAAACACATTTTAGAACATCTATGATTATAAATTGAGTTTTTGGTTAAAAATTGAGTTAAGTTGAATTTCTAAGAAATTGATTTGTATAATTCATAGTTAAGTTGATTTTTGTTATTAATAATAAAATTGGGTTCTATTTTTACACACATCATGAAATTTCAAGAGTTTGGAAAGTCTAATTCATATTTTAAAATTGTGGGTTTGATATAAGGAAAATGAGTTAAATCTAAATTTGAACAATTGGAGCATGATTTTGAATAAATGATTTCTAATTTAGAGTGTTTACTAAATTATACAATGGTTCTCCATATTTTTGTACCAAAAACACAAGTTTTAAGGCTTTGAATATCAACCTTGAAGCTCAAACACAGTTCGGGAAATTCCAGAATTTGTGATGTCCGCTCGAGCGATGAAAGCTCCGCTCAAGCGTGAAAGTCGAGCTCCCAGAAGTTTACAAAAGTTTGCAGACCGCTCGAGCGATGAAAGCTGCGCTCGAGTGAAGTAAGTTGCGCTCAAGCAGAGACCCTATTTTCATCAAATTTTGACTAACTCTTTCAAGTGCCTATTTGCATCCTCATGACATTCTAAGTATTTTTAGGCACCAATTGGACTCATATAGTCATGGAATAAGGTAGAAACACATAAAGAGAGTTGAATTTAAATGAAATGGGTATTGAATAGTGCTTCTATTGTGTTTTTGTTATGTGATTTGTTTAGGTGGACGTCCAAGGCCTTATATCGACTTAACCCACTGTGAGTAATAACTTTATAAAGACAAGTAATATTTATTTTCAAAAATGTTATTGTTATCAAAATCGATACATGATTGATTGATTGGTTTATTGAAGTACTATTTGTTATTAATGATGAAGTTCATTTTTGAAAGTAAACTCATGGCATCTTTTAGTGAGGCCCTTGCCTAGGGGAAAAATAATACTATGGCCCATTGTTTAATAGGCCCCCGCCCGGGAGAAACAATACCATGGCCCATTGTTAAATAGGCCCTTGCTTGGGGGAAATTAATACCATGGTCCATTGTTAAATAGGCCCTTGCCTGGGGGAAATTAATACCATGGCCCATTGTTTAATAGGCCCTTGCCAGGGGGGATATAATACCATGGTTCATTGGCCCTCGCCTGGGGGAAACAATACCGTGGCCCATTAGATAATTGAATATGATATATTGATTGACCCTTGAGGTCCCATTGCTATTGATACATTGTTACTCTATTGGATGTACCACGCAATTTGTCATTGAATGAGAATTGCTATTGAGATAACATGGATCATTGAGAATTGAATTGAAATCAGAATTGTATTGAAAATGCTATCGAACAATGGTTTTATTATTACAAGGGATTGATATGATAGCTAATTGAATTGATTTGCCTATTAAAATGGATTGTTTCAGGAAATGAAATATATGTTTTGATAAAGGATTTGATATGGAAAATGTTTTGTTATAAATTTGATATAATATGTCCAATGCCTTACTTTGAAAATGATTTAAGATCCATTTCAAAATTGTAAGACATGTTTTTGTACTATGTTGTCGAACTTCATTCATTTAACCTCTTTATTCTATTATTACTCACTGGGCTTTAGCTCACTATTTATATATATATTTGTAGGTGAGCAAACCGAGCAACAGGATAGAGAAAGTCTCGGAGTCTACCCGTGTCATCCTTTTAAAGAGCTTCCTGAATGGAGCAAGTTAGGTTCGAGTAGAGCCAAGAAAATCCGCCTCTTAACTTTGTCAGAGTTTTGTACTTTACTCTTTTAAATGTAAATGTGTGTGAGATATATAAAATTTGGATATATATATATATATAATTATTATTGTATCATGTAGGTACAAGCTCAATGGACATTTTTATTTTTGTTTTGCTTTTGCTTTTGCTTTTGCTTTAGGCCCTGATAAAATTATAAATATTTTGAAATTTTGTCTTTGAGGCCGAAGGTAATCTAGGATTACTGGCCCGTTACGACGCTAAACCTATAGGGGTGGGTTTGGGCTGTGACAACTATTCTCCACCGATAGCCTAAAATAGATATTTCTAAACAGATATATAAAATCTCTAATATAGATAAACTTTCCAAATTTCAAGGTGAGTGATAATACACATCCAACTCCACCATCTATATTAATATCCATCCAATTTCACATTCCCAACATTAATTCCATTTATTTATACAAAATAAATATTCAAAACATTTTGGCCAAAAACCCTTTTTATTCCAAATTTCAATCAAAGTATCAAAATCAACAATTTTATCACCACTCAACCTCATTTCCACTCCCATAATCATTTTCCATACAACCATGTTAAAACCCCTCTTTTGATTTTAAACCAAAATCCTAGGTTTGTTCAAAATCCTCCAAAATCACAAGATTGTTCTATAAAAACAAATAGCTAAGTTAAAAATCATAAAAGAGTGTGGAGAATCCCTACCTCAAAGCTAGAAGACTAAGGAGGGAATGGAGAAACCTCAAGGAAGCCGAAATCCAACTTTACATAGATGAAAACAAAGCTCTAAGTGGGCTCTACCTTTTTCTCAAAGGAAGTAAGGTGAAGAAATCAATGGATCTAAGTGTTTTAGAAGAGAGAAGGTAAGTTTTAGAGAGAGATGGTCTTAACTTAGGATTTTTAGAATGTTTAGAGAGAGAGAGAGAGAGAGATATGAAAAAGTGATGGAAAATACTCTTTTTACGAACTAATATACACACAACTCACTCGAGTGCAAGAGTTATCGCTCGAGCGACCAGACATAATAAGTTGTTCCGCTCGAGCACAAGAAGATTCACTGGAGCATAGAATACACACTCCTAGAAGTTTTACAAATAGAAAACCATCGTACGAGCACAAGAAGTCTCACTCGTGCAAAGAACACTACCTCTCTAGTATCTCTACAGGCTTGCAAAAATACTAGGAGCCCACAAAGCTCGCTTGTAGACGCGCCCACGCGGGGGGCCCTCGCTACAGTTCGGACTCGATTTTGTTTCACGGTTCTTAATCTGAACCAAAGAGTCCAAATTCGGCAAATCGTTTTGAGAAACAGATTTTTTGAAAAGAAGTGCCAAACAGGGACTACTTTGCCAGATACAGAGTCGCCACCTAAATATTTTAAAATGGGGGAATTTAGGAAACCCTGACTCGGTGCCAAAGGCCACGTGTCCGTCATCACCAAAGTTGCCTCGGCTCGGGAACTTGGGTACGATTGGGGAAGGTCAGCTATGAGCACCCCCTCTCGCCCGATCCGAAGATCGGCCTCTACTAACCGTGATATCCAATTTTGAAAACGTTATGTGTTCTTATTCCAGTTATTAGCCTAGAATTACTATGTTATGCGCACAGTACACAAGTATAGACCGAATCGCCTAAATTGGAACAAAACATTTCATGCTTGTTTTGAAAATGGTTTGCTACTCGCAAGTAGGCCAAAATGCAGGTTTTGCCACCCTCGAGTGGGCTTTTAGAAAAGATGGTTTTGCCACTATCTAGTGGGCTTAAAACCCACAGTTTTAATGCGTTATCCCAATTTAGGTAATTCAACCTCCATCCACAAGCATTCAAGCAGTTATATCACATAAGCAGCTAGCCTCATGGTAATCATGCTGTTATGGCAACACTCACACGCATGCAAGGATGCTAAAGCAAAAGAACTTACAGAGTACTCCAAGCCAAGACAGGAACTAGTTAGTAATCACATGCATGATCCTAGTTCATATTTGAAATGGCTAATGCAACACATGCAAGGATGCAATCCAAGCAGGCTCGGCTATCCTAAACATGGCATGTGAAATGCTGCAATTAACACATATTCAACTTGGAATTGAAATACGAGTGCGGTTAGCATGATGTACCGAGCCTGGTGCATGTATGTAGACACCCCATTTTTGACCGTCCTCAAGACTTGGACGTCACCGTTTGAACACTTGGTGATCATCCATGTTTGTGTTCGTTTGGAGTTCCCGGAGGTCTCGGCTACGCGCCTTGCCTCAGGATCTCCGAATTCGACCGTTAAGTGTCTGGTTTTGCACCAAACACTTGTGTTTTGCCTTGGAAGGGCAGGGAATACCTTGTAAGGCATCCCCACACACCACCGGCAGTGGCTAAAGGCCACCGGCTGGTTTTTTGTTTCCATCGGCACTTTTTACTGCCGGTCAGCACTGTTTGTTGCCGGTCGGCACTATTTTCTGCCGATCGGCACTAAATTTTGTCAAAATGACATTTTTGGGCAGCCGACCACTGTTCATCCACTTTATGGAGATATTTTGTGCCAGCTGTGATAGCTGGCACCAACTCTGCCTCCCTCCATACACGTGTATGGAGGGATTGCCCTCTAACCAAGCTTGTTGTATAAGCTTTGCAAGAGGGAGTCCTATAAGAGGAAGGCTCTCCTCTTGGCTCTAGGTTAGAGACTTAGAAGCAAAAACCAGAGCTTAGAGATATAGATACACCCTATCTCTATATCTCCCTCTCTCTCTCCCTTTGTGTGTGTTTCCTTGGCCTAAAGGTGGATTTTACCTTACTTTTGCACCATTACACACACTATTACACCTAGCTCCGAGATTGAGGGACTTGGGGGGTTGATTCTTGAGTTTTTGGACTGATTTTGATCAAAAGAAGAGGGCTAGACCATTTGTTCTTCAAAGGTTCTTCAAGGGTGAGCATCTTGCTTTATATTCCCCAAACTTGCAATAGTTTTTTACCTATCTTGCTTGCTGATTTAGCTTTTGTGCATGACATAAAAAAGGCTTACATTTTCATGCTTTAGAACTTTCATTAAGGTTGTTTTGTGGTTTGAGTGCAAACTCACCTTATTAGGCTTTATTTGGCCTCTTTTGTGCTTCTTTTGTGAGACCTTGTTTGCTTGAGTGTGTTGGTCTTTTCACCACTAAAAACCAGTTGATTTTCAGTGATAAAGAAGGTGGTTTGAAGTCTTGTGTAGGGGAGGGACACCCCTCTGCCTCCATTGTCTTGTTTCCTTACATTTTGGCCTAAAAGGGTAGCATGTATGCTTGATCATCTTGAGCCTTATTTCAGAAGTTTTTTGGATGTTTTAGGTCATATGTAACCTCTGTTTTTGGCCGGATTTGTGCCTCCTTGTATGCTTGTAGTACTTGCTTTGCATTGCTCCATTTAGCTTAGAAGTGCATCTCATGATTAGGCCATGATTCTTGCATGTGTTGGCTTAGTTCCATGAAGTTTTTAACATTGTTTTCCTATGCTTAAAGTCTGTTGGTTATCAATTTGGTCATGTTTGACATTTTTGTTATGGTTGCTTTGCATTTTGGCTTGAAAGCTTTGAGCATGTTGACCTCTAGCATGCATGGTTGTAATCATCCTCATGATTTGGCATCATTTAGGACCACATTTCAGTCCAAGAATCATGTTTGTATGCGTGCATGTATGATCTCTTCCATACCTTAGGGTGTACCCCTTTTATGCCTAGAAATGAGTCTTGGTGGTAGCATTTCATGGGAGTCATTTTAGCTGCCATATTAGGAGGCTTTAGAGTCCCATTTTGCATGTAAAAATCCTGTCTTTACTTGTCTTAGTCATGCCATGAGTGGTCATGTTGGTGGGGGTGAAATGCCTTCTTTTAGTGCCTTAGCCTTGGGACTATTGGATTGCTTGTTGGCATAGGTTTTTGTCCACCCTATTAGGCACTGTTGGCCGCTGTTTTGGGATAGTTTGAGGTCTGCCCCTTTATGGTTTATGGTCACCCTTGCATGCTTATCTCACGTTTGTTGCATAATTGCTTCATTAAGTGTTGTAACATTTTGGTCCCATTGCTTAAATTGTTCGTATTAGCATTGCATCTTGCTTGTCTAGCATTGCATACTTGCCATATGAGTTGCATAACATTTGGCATACTTTGCATTTCCATGTCATTGTTGCATTTTGAATCATGTTTGCATAACATGCATTGCATTTACTTGGGTTGGGGTGTCAAACCAAGTGTGGGGACCAAGGGACATTCATACTTCAAGTGATGTAATGTGCCTTGATTCCCGGTCACCGAGGCCTTTGACTCCGACTTGATAAGGCTTTGGTTCTCATTTTGTTTGTTGCATGCATCTTTACATCAAGTGACAAATTTGATCCCTTGGGCTATCATGCGTCATTGATGGCTCGAGGATCGAAGACCATGCTTCCTTGAGTTCAAAGCATGATAGGAAGCATGATCATGCCCACATATGCCTGAAATCCCATGCCATGCACTGTCTGTTCTCTGTTTGCTGTCAAAACTGTCTTCTGCAGGAAGTTTCTGCCGACCGGCAGAATTTAGTGCCGACCGGCAATCCCTGAAGTGCCGATGAATCCAAGGACAGCCGGTGGAAATTGTGAAGTGCCGGTGGGAATTCTGTCTGGCCGGTGGTGCTTTGCAGCATGTAGGGAACCTGCTCCAGGACTTTGGCAATTTTCAGAGAGACAAGGCAGTATAAACAGAGGTGGCAGGGGTACGGTACGGGTTTTTCAGGCGAGCCGGATTTCGAGCACGCATCATTCGCGCATCACGAGGCAGAGGCTGCGGCCACCCTCTTCTTTTTTTTACATTCTTTCTATTAATTAATTAGAAATTCTGTAATAATTTTATTTGCTTATCATTTGGACTGTAATATTTATTTGGCCCCTCCGAGTGAGGGCAATTATGTAATAAGTGTGCGTGAGTGTGTGTATGTCTTCCAACCTCACGTCTTTCTTCCCTTTTATTTATCTGCTTATGATGGTAGATTAGGGCAAGTTTAACTTAGCATACCTTATGCTATGCATGCGTGCATTCATGCATTTGTACTGCATGCATTAGGCTCGGTACATCATGCTAACTGCATTTGC